CTACTCCTGAAAATAGGTGTGGGTTCTTGGGTAACAAGATACAGCAGAGGGGAAAAAACGTATTCTACAGCTGATTCTTATGGCAGCATGAAGTTCCCTTTCACAACACATTTAGAATTATTTAATTGTGTATTCTTGTATGCATATTAGTTATGACCATAAAAATAGAAATTGCCTGAAAATTATGGCCTGAAAATGTTGGGCAAAAACATCAAACCTCCTTGGTTCAATACCAGGAAATTCATATGAAATTATAAGTGAATACTTGTATTTAATGCTGATCAAGTATTTCCCAAAATTAAGTCACACTTAGGTAAAATGCTCTTATGATTGAGAGTATAACTGTCAGCACAGAAGTGGAAAAGGATATGCACAAATAGAGTACTGCATGGCAATGTAATATTAATAATACTAGTTACCTTAACTGCAGATGGAAAGCTTAGTTTTGAGTAATGTCTGTATGTAACTGTGTAGTCTGTAGTTGGGCTAATGTTCCTAGGCTGGGGTTGGGAGAGAGATCATTACAAAAGGTACAGGTAAATTCCCTGGGCTTGCATCAGGTGTTTACTTAGGCCCTAGAAAAATGCTGCTGTATAAACATTTCTGGACAGAATTGTTAAATGACAACTTAATACTAATATGCATTCTTTTTCTAATACCCTCCTACCACCCTCTTTCAGTATACTGGAATACATTAAAGGATTGTAGAAATAAAGCAAACTAACTTGTTTAATCTAGTGTCTCTTTTATTTAGTTTTATTGTCCATATGCTCCTTACTTTGTGATCCTAATCCAGATGATCCTTTAGTACCAGATATTGCACAGATCTACAAGTCAGACAAGGAAAAGTGAGTATAACATACGTAATTGTGTGTGTGGTACTTGCAGATTGCTATCTGCTGTGCACCTTAGATATTCAATTTAGCAATACTCTTTTCCTAGATTTCCACAGGATTAGCTCTTTAAATATTGAGAATAGTGATGGCAAGTAGAAAACTGTAAGCATACACAGCTGTTGGTAACTCATTTTTTTGTACTTAATTACATAAAACCTTCATGCTTTTGTGCAACAGATTGATTGCATGAAAAATTATTTTCCCAAATATGAGTTATTTGTCTGTACTGCAATCCTCTGGTTATAAAACCCATACAGAAGAGTTTTTGACCTTCTGTTTAACTGAGTTATTTGGTACCTATTTTTCAGTGTTGAGCCATTGAAGACTTCTTGCAGTGTATGCAGTGGCCTGTGGCTCAACACATGTCACAGATTCAGGAAGATTTGAGTATTGCCTTTACCTTGAGCAGTAGACAGCAAAGGAGTGATGTAGTAGTTACATGGACATCTGTGGTCTAGTATTTCTCTGCCTAGACTAAGAATTACTAAAATGGCCTTTTTCTCACAGTTCAATGTCTGGTACAGTGAAATCATGTAACTTCTGAAGTGCTGAATGCTGTAGCTCATTCTGCAAAATAGATTAGTGTTCAAGCTGAGGATGTTGTGCATCAGCTTCTCCCCATTTGTGGCTCGACTTTTTTCTGCCCACCTACTTATTAGTGATTTCAGCTGTTGTACCTCCTGTTTGTGAAGGAAGTGAATGAGGAATGCTTTTCTATCTCCAAATCTCAAAATCTAATCATTGCTAGGGAAAGTAAGAAAATATGTAGTCTTGACTGTAGCTTTATCTTATGATGATCACCTATTAATTTTTTTTGTTGTTTTACCTTGGATTTAGGAAATGAAAGCTATGGCTGGTTACCCTGAGCATTTATCTATGAGTATCTTATTATAACTTAAAATCCACAGACTTGTATGGTAGCATATTCTTAAGAAGAAAATCGATTAGTAAATGAGTTGCTATACTGATCTTAAGAGTTAAAAACTTGTCAGCATTTTTCTCTGGTTGACTCAATAAAGTGAATCCAGTCTGACGAGTAGAATGTAGCAAATGTAAAGACCAGAGTGGAGGCTATCAACTCTCTAAGGACATTTACCCTTGGGATTATGGAATTATAAGATAATCAGCTTCATCCCAGAAGGAAAAGACCCAAGACTTAAAACCTAGTAAAAAATGCTTTTCAGAAAATTTTCTTTGCAAGTTCTGAAATGCAGCTGGCAGTGCAGAACGGAGAATAAAATCCCAGTTAATTATTCTGAATTTCATGGAACTAAAATATGTAAAGTTTGTTAGACTCTTAATAGCTTATGCCTTTAGAAGTAATTGACAACAAATTCCTGTTAAGGTACAGATAAGGGAACCAGTCATGAAATACAAATGAAGGATGCACAATGCTACACAATTTAATGCAAACCTGTGAGGTTGGATTTGAGTCTGAATAGCTCTGTACATAACTTTAGAAACTGAATGTGAGTGGGTATATACTTCTTAGCTTTTAGACTGTTGTAATGTTCTTTGCCTCTGCTCAGAGGTGAAAAGCTCAGTAACACCTGTATTAAGTAAATCCGTGGCCATTGTCAGTGTATCACTAACAGCTCTTCACTGTAATGCCTTCTTTCTGCACGTACAGATACAACAGACATGCAAGAGAATGGACTCAGAAATATGCAATGTAAACTTTTGAAGACATTTTCATATACCAGAGTACTGTAAATTCTAGTTTTTTTCAAAATTAGAAGGAAATGGAGCACAGTTATGGTTTCAATGTGACACCCCTTGAATTTTTTTCACCCATGTAAGTGTGTTTCTGGAGCAAGAGAGAACAAACTTCCAAAAATACCTTATGACTTTGATAAGAATATTTATCCTCTTTGTATGCTTTGCAGAAGACATTTATTATAGTTTTTAAGAGTTGGACACCTGCATCTTCAGACTACAAGATCTATAATTCAATTGTAAAACAGTGAAATTATTTTTGCTGGAAAAAGTAGCTGTTTTCATGTGATGAATACTGTATGTGTGTCATTGAAGTATGTTGTCTGTTTCATAAGTGTGTTCAAGTTTCTTTTTGTTAGTTCTCTTATATAATTTGTATTTTTGTACTGTATAGACTATTTTATTTACAATGTAAGTCATTTTAGTTTAGACTTGCTTGTGCACAGTATTGACAAGATACAACTGCTAATGGTGAAAATAATTGGAATATCTCACCCATTAGAATATTCTGAAGACTGACTGCAGAATTCTTAAAACCTAAAATTATCTTTGCACTGTAAATCTTTGTATGCTGATTATGGAGAAACACTTGGTTTTGATTCTGTTGCATACTTGACTTAATTTTATTGCAATGTGAACTAATTGCACTGGTATATAGAAAGATATATAACTGTTTTGTTGCTATTCACAAATGGTTTGTGACGTGTGGGCAACATAATGCTATCACAGACCTTTTACAAATCCAGATGTAGCCTTTTCCATATAAATAAAATACATTTTCTACTTTCCTTGGCTGTTTTTTTTATCTTAACTCATGCATACCCTTGAAGTACTTGCTCCAACATTCTAACAGAGAACTGCCAGTAGTGTGTATGTTTCTTGTAGACAGAATGTCCAATAAAGCCATGCATCTTGTACGACTTAGAACTGGGCTCTAAGTTAATTTTTATGCTAGTTCTAGCCTAGTGGATTTAGCATATTATGCCCATTGTTGGACAGACAGAGGATTTCAAATAGGTTAATGCCATGCTACACCAATATCCATCTGTGGAGGAGAGAATCACAAGGGTCTGTTAAGGTGGTGTATTTGCAATATCAGAACGTTACAGTCAACTCACACTTGAAAGTAATTTTTGTCCTCACACTTGAAAGTAACTTGTCTATTAACTTTCACTTCAGCTGCTTCAGACTATGCATGTGGAAAACCACAAGTACTGGAGAGGGGCAATTTGTTCTTAAAACATAGATCAAAAGCAGAAGTACTCTTAATTTCCTACCATTCATTCTTCTTGGTTATTTGAAAATAAAAAAAGATGACTAAATGCTTTTATCTATATATTGCACATGAAAGAAAAATTACTTTCCATTGGGAAATTTGTCATCATAAAATACATTTCTAACATGACCGATAGATTTGATTTGGGTTTGGGTTTTTTTAATTTTTATTTGAATATGCATCAAACTGGAATGTGGGGTATGGGTGGTAAGTGTGCACAGTAGGAGCTTTTATTCCTACCAGTGGGATATTAATTTCATGTTTCCTGATTTACTCAACTTAAGTTGGTCACATATGGGAAAATCTCATTTCTGTGCCAGTTTAATCTGTCATGTAATGGTGACATTTGAAACAGCAGCTTGAGAGTGGTTCTAATAATCTTAAAATTATTAGAATATCCCTTAAAATATCCCTGTTCACAACATTTTGCAAGCTGAATAAATTGATTTTTTCTTTTGTTACTGAGTGCTTCATTATATTTGAACTAGGGCAATGTAGCTGGGAAGGCAAAGACATTTGCTCAAATGCTTGTAGAAAACTGACCATCAGAATGTGTTCATGGTTTTTATTTTTTCTAGTTAAAATAGCAATCTCTTTGTACTATAAGTTATTTAAATTTTTTTGATATCTGTATAGAACTGTGTGAAATCAGAAGTTTGATTTGGTTTATCCGTTTGTGTTAGGGATGGTTTGAAAACATTTATACGTTACCTGGTAATGGTACTGCTTTATACCATGCATGAATGACTTTCCACCACAGTATGAAACCAGCAGGAGGATTGAAAACTAACCAACACCCATGTGTAAGGCATATTAAGCATGTGTAAATATTTAAAAAGGAACTTATCTTATGATCATGCTGTTTAGAGGTGTGAAACTACATCTTTGGTTGTTATGATACTCCTAGCAGTTCAGCCTTTCTGCTTTTGAAATTATCGGAATGGAATAATAAACACATTATTTAACACTTCAGTCACGCTAGGAAGTGGCTGGGTTCAATCTGTGGAGAGAAACACTTGCACTGCTGCACCTTCGGAGCTCCTCGGTTAATGCTTTTTATACAAATTCTATTTCCAAGGCTGAAACGTTTACTTTAGAAAGAAACCACCAACCTTCCTTTTTCCCCAGAAGTGGTCGGGGCAGTGGCGCGGTTTGGCCGCACCCCTCAGCACAGGCACTTACTGCCCGGCTGGTTTCTGCTGCATGTGCTCCTGTGGGCGCACGCACGAACCGGCCCGCGGGCTCACCCAGTGCCGGCGTCACCTTTACGGCGGTGCCTCCTTGTGGCAGTGTCACCTCGCGCCGGTGTCTCCTCGTGGCGGTGTCACCACTTTTGTGGCGGCGTCACCTTTGTACCGCTGTCCCCTTCGCAGCGGTGTCCCCTTCTGAGGCCGCCCCGCCCCGCCCCTCACGCCGCCGCCCCGGGGTGCCGTGCGCAGTGCGCAGGCGCGGCGGGCCGGCATGGCGGCGGCGGCGGCCTGGCTGGGCCGTGCCGCGGGCCTGGGCCTGGGCCTGGGCCTGGTGGCGGCCGCGGGCGGGCGGCGGCTGCTCCGGGGCGGGACGGGAGCGGGGCTGCGCCAGCGGGGCGCGGGCATCCTCCTCGACGGTGCCGCTGTGTGCAGGGCCGGTGGCGCGGCGGAGCGCTGCCTGTCTCGGGGGACCAGCTCGAGTCAGCGCCCGAAGCGCCCCCTCACCGCCTATTTTCGCTTTGTGATGGACAACCGCCCGGCCTTTCGGGAAAAAAACCCAGGTACGAGGGTGGAGGGGAGGCGGGGCCGGGGCTCCGGTACCGCAGCCTCCAGAGCGGAGTGGCCGGGGAGCCGGAGGAGCAATCCCTGTGTGAGCCCGAGCTTGGGAACCACCTCAGCAATCCCTGTGTGAGCCCGAGCTTGGGAACAATCCCTGCAATCCCTGTGTGAGCCCGAGCTTGGGAACAATCCCTGCAATCCCTGTGTGAGCCCGAGCTTGGGAACAATCCCTGCAATCCCTGTGTGAGCCCGAGCTTGGGAACAATCCCTGCAATCCCTGTGTGAGCCCGAGCTTGGGAACCACCTCTGCAATCCCTGTGTGAGCCCGAGCTTGGGAACAATCCCTGCAATGCCTGTGTGAGCCCGAGCTTGGGAACAATCCCTGCAATCCCTGTGTGAGCCCGAGCTTGGGAACAATCCCTGCAATCCCTGTGTGAGCCCGAGCTTGGGAACAATCCCTGCAATCCCTGTGTGAGCCCGAGCTTCGGGACCGATCTCAAGTCGTGCTCTCGGTCCCGGCCCGTGTTTGTCCGTGCCCGCCCCAGCGGAATCCAGCATGGTCGTGCTCATTGCCCACACGTGCCTGCTTGGTCCCCGTGTGTAATTTTAAAAATGCTTGATGAAATACCTCGCCTAGGTAATATACGTTAACAATTACTTACGTTTCCCGATTACTTTTGGACTCTTAAGTATTTGAAGTACATTTTTGCTGATATTGTGAGCTGTGTGTGATTTTGAGGCTTAGTAATTGAAAAATGGCGGGTACTGGATTGCGTATGGGAGAAGAAGTAAGTGGATTTAGATGAAAATGGTTTTCTGTGAATGTTTGATTTACTATCAAAAACTGCACTTATAGGCAATGCAGTGACTCTTGCCAGAGAGCGGCAGAATAAAAGGATGAGGTGGTTTTGAAATATTGTTGAAGGTTAAAATGTTTAAAGAACTACGGTCATATTGGGTAAATCCTGAGGAAGATTTAAGTAGGGAAAACTATTTGCTACGCTGTTTAGCTCACCAGTTCAAGAGTTCCACACTCTCATACAGAACTGGAAATGTTACTTGTGGTTTATTCCATGCTCCTCCTTCCAAATTCAGACCATCTTGCATTGTACAGAAAAGGATCCAGCTAAAAAGGCAAAAAATCTGAAATTGTTGTGGGGTAAAAATAGCTGCCTTGAAATCGTGCTTCAGTTTATTTACTGCATGTTGTGTTCCAGGTGAGCAGTGCCTCTTCCCCATCCCCCAAATATTGCAGTGCCCTTTAACTGCCATAGTGAGTTAGTTTTATGAAAGGAAAAAAAATGCATTTGAATAGGAAGATGATACCTGTGACAGCTTTCCTTGGGAAAACTTGAAGAAGCTTACTAAAAGATACAATGTTGATCTTTATTACAGAAGTGAGCAACACGGAACTGATTAAAAAATTAGCAGGTGCATGGAGGGAGTTACCAGCATCACAGAAGCAGGTAAGGTTGTATCCTTTCCCTGAGTACTTTGAACCTACAGGTGGGGTTTTATTTGGTCTGGTGTCTTGTGGTTTTTTTCTTCAGTCTGGTGGGGTTTTTTAGTTGGTTGGTTTGTTTTTAAAGGGCTTGAAAAAGCACATGTGTACAAAGGTTCAGACATCAAAACAGTTGGGAGAATTGGGAGTTTGAATAACTCAGGGGAAGTGTGGTGGGATGATCCTGGCTGAATGCCAGGTGCCCACCAAAACCACTCTCAGCTGCTCTCCTCGGCTGGGCAGGGGAGAGAAAATACAGCAAAATGTTTGTGGGTCTGAATAAAGCAGGAAAGGTCCCTCAGCAGCTACTGTCAGGGCATAACAAACTTCACTTGGGGAAATCAGAGTAGGATAATGAGAAATAAAAACTCATATCCTAAGACACCTTTCCCCTACTCTCACCTCTTCCCAGGCTCAACATCACTTCCAATTTCTCTGCTTCCTCCTGACAGCAGTGCAGGAGCACAGGGAATGGGGGCTGAGGTCAGTCCACCATGTGTTGGGCTGACCTCAGCTGCTCCTTCCTGTTCAGTGGGAGAACTTGGGCTCCCTTCCTCAGGGAAAACCTCCATGAACTGCTCACATGTGAGTCTTTCCCATGGGCTGCAGTTCTTCAGGAACTGCTGCAGCATGTGTCCTCCAGGAGCAGGCTTCAGCCGGGGTCACAGCCCCCTTTGGGCATCCCCCTGCTCCACTCTGGTCTCCTCCAGGGGCTGCAGCTGATCTCTGCTCCCCCTGGGCTGCAGGGGCACAGCTGCCTCACCATGGGCTGCACCCCAGGCTGAAGGGGAACCTCAGCTCTTGTGCCTGAAGCATCTCCTGCCTCTCCTTCCCTGACCTTAGGATCAGTAGAAGTGTTCTTCTGACATGGTCAGCCTCCTTTCTCTGGCTGAAGTTGTGCAGTTTTCTTTTTCACCTTCTTACTTCTGTTACCCCTGAGGTGCCACCACCGTCGCTGATGGCCAGTAGCAGGTGCCACTTGGAGCTGGCTGGCCTTGGCTCCATCAGGCTTCTCACAGGAGCCATCCCTGTACCCCCCTCAACACCAGAATCTGGCCATGCAAACCCAATGCAGGAAGATACTTTGCTACTTGTACTTGCACTTGTACATGACCTTGGCTTTAATAGTTTTAATCTGTTGCCAGACACATGACACAGCTCTTGCTCTATGTGGCTGTGGGGCTGCAAACCAATTATTTCTCCTTTTGAATGGCAATATTGCAATTTCGCTGTATGTACAAGATTTGTAAAGTTGTTCTGCTCTCATGTATATGGTAGGTGAAATCTCAGGTAATTTTGATGGAAGGACCAACTTCTTTTAGTTCATGTAAATTTCTTTAAAAGTCATCAAATTAAGTCATAAGTAGTGAATGAACTCATTTCTCTGAATGACAGTTTCAAGGGATAAAGTAAAGCAACTCTAGGACTTGCTGGTGGATTTAAATGCCATTTGTAGCAAAGTAATGATTGTTATTCCTTGGCTGCAGTTAGCAATTTGAGGCAGGAACTAAATTCTGTTTCCTAAAGGAAATATTCAGTACACCTGAGGTATTCTTACATCCCTTCTGGACTTCTCACTCTGTGTACCTTTCCCTTTTCTGAAATGTAGAACAGGGAATCAAACAGATAATAATCTAATGTTCTGCTGTAAGTTTTTCAGTCTGTAATTTTTCTACGCATAGGTTAGAAGTGTTAGCTTGTCTAATGGTCAAGTGCTTCTGACTGAAATCAAGCTTAAGTTTAAGGCTGGTGGTGGTTTGTGCTGTAGGTTTATGAGGAGGCACTAAAGACAGACTGGAAGAGATACGGAGAGCAGATGGCCGCTTACAAAGCCCAACTGACTCCAGCCCAGGCTGCAGCTTTGAAAGAGGAAAGGAGAAAACAACTGGCAAGGAGAAGATCAATCAGGGCAAAAAGAGTAAGTATTTTCAAGTTCAGGTTTCTTTTCTCTCAAGCAACCTGAAGTCTGTTTGTCTACTATACAAAGCAGAGTTGAAGCATTTTTAGAAATACAAAAGCAACTCAGAATAGAAAAAAAACCACAACATACACAAACCTCCAAAGATGCCATGGACTAAAATAATTACTGGTGTTAGCAGCTAGTTTAGTGGCTTTCCTGTGCTTGAAGAGCACAGAACTAGCATGGATCTTTGTGCTTAGAGGTAGCTTCTCTATGCTTTTTTTCTCCCTATTTCTAGAGCTACCAGAGAAAGGATAGGCACTAAAAGATATTTGAACCAGCAACACTTTCTTCAGATGGGAAGACATCCAGAAATGGCTTTTCACAAAGACCTTTTGTCTGTTACCTCATTAGGCCCTACAAGGTAGCAGCTGTTAGAAGTAGCCTTTTTTCCTTCCGTTTTTGGGCTCTGCCACTGTGTAGCTGCTGCTGTTGATATCTCTGTGTCCTTTACTAGCATATTCATAAGGACCATCTTCCCTATTCCTTTGTGGCTGTTTTATGTATAAATCCTTAGAGACAGAACCATCTGTGACAGTACATTATTATGGTTTGTCTGGAAAGATCAGAGGGGTTATGTATTGCTTATTTATTCCTGTGAGTTAAACTGTGACATTGCCCTAATTGGGAAAAGCAAAATAAATTTGGTTTAAAAGACCCGTATTTAGAGTGAGTTTGTAATCTTAATGATTCTGCTGCTCCTTTTTAGAGAATGGCACCACAAGGAATTCAGCTGGCATATCTAATACCTAAGCAGATGCTAACTTACAGCACCTAGGCTACAGTGGGAATGTCAGGACTGGGGAAAACGGGAAGTGTAATTGCATCTGTAACTTGCTGTGCTTTCATTCTCCAGCCATCATCCCTGTAGGTAAAGCATTCTGATAGCAGAACCACAGTTCTCTTCCACCTTCTCACCTCCACAGATAAGTGCCTGCCCTCTTCTCTGCACACAGGCAATATTTCACACCAGAAACTGAAGTCTTATTGAAGAATAATAGAAAATCTGTCATCATTACTTCCTTACAGAGTTGAATTTAGTAGCACACTCTGGTTTCTGGAAGACTTAGCTGAAGTAAGAATCAGTTTTAAATGTTTTTTCAACAACTTGTGAAAACTCAAGTTGTTAGCTTTTTGTAGTTTAACATTAGTCTTGAAAAGCACTTAGAGCGTCTTGACATACA